TAGTTATTGCTCAGTAGTGCTTACTCTGCCCAAGGACTTTTCAGTCTCTCCTCCTCTGCTAGTGAGGAGGGGCATAAGAAGCCATGAGGGAACAGAGACAGAACACCTGACCTCAACTAGCCAAAGGGGTATTCCACACCACAGCACGTCATGCCCAGGATATAAACTGGGGGAGTTGCCTGGAAGGCCAGATCGCTGCTCGGGTCGGGCTGGGTATCGGTCGGCGGGTGGTGAGCAATTGTGTTGTGCATCACTGCTGTTTATTGGTTCTTTTTTCCCTCCTTTCCTTTTTAGCTTTATATTGTCTCCCCTTGTTCCTTCCCTTACAATTGTTATTCGTAGTAGTAGTTTCACGTTATACTTTAATTACTGGACTGTTCTCATCTCAGCCCGTGGGGTTTACGTTCTTTCAATTCTCCTCCCCATCCCGCCGGGAGCGGGGCGGGGAGGGGGTGGTTGTAAGCAAGCGGTTGCGTGGTTCTGAGTTACCGTCTGGGCTGAAACCACGGCAGGTGTTCCGTTTACTGAAGAGTGACCAGAAGAAGAAAATCCGAGAGCTCAGAGGTGTTTCTGTTCTCATTCAAGTATGTTTGCAGAGTAACTTAATACTTGGAGAAAATGCTGTTTTGTGTGAGATATCAGATGATACAGTTGGCAATTTGAAAAAACTTGCTCTTTAAGTTCTGCTGCTTTAGCATGTCTGGAGATGGCAAACGTTGAGATATTTCAGGTTAATTTGGAGAATACTGTTGTTTGCTGGTGATTAATTTTAGAAAACCATGTTATTTAAAAAAAATTATGTTTTTTTTTTTTGTCTTGTTTTGTGTTTGTTCCCCACAATAGTGAGTCTAATGTATGATTTTTACATAGTTGTTATGCTGTAGTAGTTCCTGTTGCTAGTTGTCCACATAAAATCAGCTTGACTGGTAGGAAGTTCAGAGTTTAAAATACAAAGAGAGAAACTAAATACTAGTAAGAAACATTGCTTAATGCCTCTAGGTCCTGTTGTATGTAAAAACCAAAACAAAACCCACTGCAGAAAATTCTAAATTTACCAAATGTCCTAAAGTTACTGAATATTGTTGAAGCAATTCTAGTGGGTAGGGAGCACTACCTTCTGAAATTCTAGTACAACCACCACAGTCTCCCTGTTGCTTTGTCAGGTTGTACCTCTGTTGTGGTACTAATTTTATGGCCTACACTTGGTCCAAGCAGTTTTTAGACATTGATGCTGGGGAAGGATCTTACTAACTTCAAGCTGGGTAAAGACTAATATTAAATCAATATATAATAATGGTAGAGAATTTAGACATGCAAAGTATTAGAATTAATTTAGTTTTTACAAGAAGTTTAACTTCATCACAGATTCTCAATGCAAGAAGACACAAATGTTGACTTCTATTTACCACGAGAAATAGAATTTTAGATTTTTTTTTTTAGCACCTTCTGCTTCATTTACTGTGGCTTGCTTTATTGAGTAGGGATTCAAAACCAGTTTTCCCATTCTGATTAAAACGCCACTTCAGTGGGAGCTTATCTTCAATGAGAGGTATTTTGGAACTAGTACTATAAAACACTGGCTGCCATTGCATTGTTAAACTTGTAGCTGTCAAGTCAAATAGATGAAAGTGTTCCAAATGTTTATTTGCTTGAATGCTTTCCTGCCATCTGAAGGTAAAAGCATGTCCAAAGTTTGAACTGGTATCACAGATCTGTTTGGGGAAGGAGAAGGATGGATAAAAGTGTGTTAAAATACGGTTGTAGCTGCCATCATTTTCTGTATAAGTGGAAGTAGGGACGTGGAAAACAGAGTCACTTATGGAAGGCATGTAGAGAGTTTCGTTATCAGAACTATTTTGCTTAACTAAGTTGGATGTGAGGGGGTAGGTTTAGGTTTTGTGTTTGATTTTTTTGGGGGGTGGTGGTGGTGAGATTTTGTTTGTGGTTTGGGTTTTTTTGTGTTGGTGTTTTTTTGAAGGAAGTGACAGAAAATAGTACATGTGTGCCAATTAAGTTCAGAAATGCATCACAATTTGCCTTCATATGCCTTCACAATTTGCAAACAGAAATTCTAATGTTTTCATATTCAAGTATAGCAGAGAGAAATAAAAAAGTGTAATTGCTCAATGAATTTGGAAAATGACTGTGTGAAAGGCTAGTTTCTCCAAATCAGATATGCTTTTATTTCCAAGTTAGGCTTTTCTTTGGGCTGAAAAACATCATGGATTTTGTAGACTCTAGAGTAAACGACCAGGGGTAAAAGTACTTCTCTGAACAAAAAAACCAAGGTGTCTTTACAGCAGTTGTGCTTAGGCTATCTACAGTGGTATCCTTTCCAAAAGAGGCTTGGATTATTTAAGCTTTCTTCTTAACAAATTTATATTGTTATACTTAGGAGGTTTCTCATGTGCCTAGCCTTCAGATTTCTCAGTTTACAAGTTCATCTGTGCTATGTGTATTGCTGGGATCATTGAAGTGAAGCTGAGATCTTCAGGTTATATTTCTTTTTTTATACCTAGTAAGATTTATTTGTTTTTATAAAGCCTTTGCATTTTAATAAGAGGGCTTATATAATTTGTCTCTTATTTCTTCCTATTTTTTTTCCCTTGTCCTGAAAATATGTAGGAAAAACAAAAGCCAAAAGTGTTCCTTGGAATTTGAGCAAAGCAGCAAATTCACGTGAGGCTCAGAGTTACAGTGCCATGACTGCAGTGATAACAGCTGTTATATGTGCAGTTTTTCCCATTTTTTTATTGTAGAAGTACACAGTCAATCAAATATGAAGAGGTTGTCTAGTATGTGTTTTTCACTACAGGACTTTTGTAGCCCCGTTCCATTGTTCTAGGCTACTGTGTAGTTAAAATAGAGAGCATGTGTAGTGGTTAATTTCCATAGAGTAGCTGGCCATATGCTACTTACTCCATGTTAAAATAAAAAAAGAATAATTAAAAAAAATTGTACATCCTATTGTATCTGTATTGTTAAAGATGGAAGAAATCACTCTGCTTTTTCTGCTTTCTCAAGGTAGCACAAATTCAGTAGCCTTCGTTACAAATAACAGTGAAATAACATTTTATCTCTGGGCATAACCAAGGACCTCTATGTAGTCTGCTGAGCTAATTATACCCAGTCTCAATGTAAATTTCTATTGATACAGGCTTCAAATTTCAGTTTTTAATAATAGAGTCCTTGGTAGCCTGAAACATGACATTTTACACATGGCTACCGTCCTTTCCATCTAATCCCTTCCCTGCGTGGGAGTTTCTTTAGATAATTTGTTCTGTGTCAGCAGAGTATTCTTGTATTTATTCTGACTTAGTTGTCTTCTCTTATCTATAATAGCTCCTCCCTGACTTATGTTTTAAGTTGAAATATGCTAAGATGGGAGATGATTATATTGGAAATGCTACAAAAACCTAAAACCATGTCACATCATCTTCCTGGATCCTGATGTTGGTTGATCGTCTGTTGGAAGGTGTTCAGTACTGGGAAAGTCATCCTATTGCTTTTAATCATAAGCAGACAACTTAATCAGTGCTGGAAGATAATGGGGCCCGGTTTATATTAGTGCTTCCTTTAACTTGGGACTTTAGGAAGTCCTAACTTTAAGCAATAAATTGTACGTGTATCACCTGGAAACCATGGCTATTTTGCCATGCTAAGCTGTCACCTTCCTAAACTTCTGTGCCTTTTTTATAGCATGCTTGTGCTCTATATTCATGGTAATTAACACTTACACCAATCCATGCTTGCTAGATGTCACCAGCTGGTGGCTTTGAGTGTGATACCAGATCCATGTGTCCTTTTTTGTGTAGACCAGAAGTTATATACCCCAACATTCAATAAGGTTTATTAGTTTAGGTTAGGTGTTATTCTGGCTGTGGTCCCAACACCATCAGTAGATTAGGAGCATGAGCAGAACAGGTTTTCGTCAGCTTTTCAGAGACTACTTTGTACTTAATAGGTTCAATGTGAACCTTCTCCATCAGCAAATTTTTCAGATTTCCATTCTGGGTATCCACTTCTGGAAGGATCCCATACTCATTCTTAGGAGAATACATTAATGAAGAGTTGCAATTGAAATGGAGGAGGAAGGCGTGAAGGTGAGCTTTAGTAGTAGGGTCAGGAATTAAAAGCTCTGGCTGTTTTATTTCCTCCCACCACCCCCCCCTTTTTTTTTTAATAGTAATTGGATATATGTATTGACAGGATGAAGGAATGATTATTCCATGGAGATGCCTTTAGTTCTGTTATATCTCTAAGTAAGGTAAAATACAGTTTTTCGGAAGCTCCCTTAATTGAATGTAAATACAAGAAATGGAGTATCTCAGCATTTCCTACTGAAGTCAAGGTGGTTTTGTTTTTAAATGTAGTTTATAATCTTGTTAAGTTTCTTGTTTAAACATACAGAAAGGTGTACATTTTATGTATACAATATATGTGCTATGTCTGGTTTCTTATCCTACAAACACTTTAATTCTGGACTACTAAAACCACAATTCTGTTCCAGTTCAGTAGTTTTAATGAAAATGGCAAAGAAAAAAATCTAAAATTTGGGTACTAGAGTAAAACTGAATGAAAAAAATGAAACCATTACATTTAAAACATCAGATACTACTTTAATTGTGGAAGGCACAAAAAGGACAAATGCTACACAGGCATCAAGTCGAAGCAAAAATAACTTAGTTGATTTGTGGTTTAACCAAGTTGCAATGTTAAGAAAAAAATGTCACACATCTGGATAAGTATTGTGGAGGGGAAGGAGCAATGAGGAAAGCCATGAAAGTAATTTTTATCTTCTTTTCTTTTTTTTCTTTTTTTTTCTCTCCCATAGGATCCTTTAACATTTTGAGACGAACGTTTCATCAGAAGCACTAATGGACGTTGGCATGCCTTGGATGAGGTGGTGACTGCTGGATATCATTCATTTCTGTTCACTGCAAAGCGCCGAAATTGACTCCATTTGGAGTTGAGAGAAAAAACAGTACAGGCCTATCAAGATGACTGATCCTATGATGGATTTTTTTGATGATGCCAATCTTTTTAGTGAGACCTTAGAAGGTTTGTCAGATGATGCCTTTGTTCAACCTGGACCTGTTTCGCTTGTTGATGAATTGAATTTGGGTGCAGAATTTGAACCTTTGCACATAGACTCATTAAACCATGTGCAAGATGCTCAAAATCAACAAAAGATGAGTGAGTTTGATCAGCTGAATCAGTTTGATTCACTGAAACTTCACTCAGTAAATCAGTCTTTTAATAGCCCAGCTGACAATGTCTTGTCACCACACTCTCAGTTCAGTTGTTCACCAGTTCATCCGCAGAACCAGTCTAATGGGATGTTTCCCGATGTGGCTGATGGTAGTCCTATGTGGGGTCATCAAACTGCCACAACTGTTTCAAATCAGAATGGGTCCCCCTTTCACCAAGGACATTCTCAGTCTATGCAGCAAAACAAAAGCTTTGTAGCACACCATGACTTTGCCTTATTTCAGGCTAATGAACCACAGCATCAGTGTGCCTCACTACGGTCACAACAAGGCAGAAACAACACGGGGCAAGATGCTCTGAGTCAGCCAAAAGACTTCATGGAAGTTAATGTATCTACTTCTCTCAGAGTCAGTGTCAACCCATCTCCAGTCTCTAATCCATCGACTTCACAGCAGCCTCTGTCTGTTCAGCAGTTTTCTCAAACTGCAAATGCTTCATTACATTTTTGTGGGAATCAAGAAGGAAATTTTGATGGACAGTCTCCAACTATCACTCCATGTTCTGTCAATAATAGCCAACAATTTTCATCTCCTTTTTCTTACTCTCATAACCACATTTCCCCTACAAGCCTTCTTCAGTCTCCAACAGCTCTTTCTACTAGCCAGCAGACACACTCTATCTCTGACTTCACTGGAAGCGATGCCTTTACATCTCAAACAGGGACCAAGCAAGAAACAACCGATCACATGTTGAATCCTAATACACCTCTGAATTCAAATACTTTTCAAATGTTGCATTCTACGCATCCTCAGGGCAACTTTAGTAGTTCAAAACTCTCTCCTGTAAATATTAGTTTTTCAGCTTCTACTGGTTCTGCGTCTCAGATAAGCCATTTCACTGACCCAATTGAAAGCAACGGTTTTACGTCTTTAGATGAGAACTTACTTCATCAAGTAGACACTCATAATGAACCGTTTACAGGACTTGATCCTGATGACCTTCTTCAGGAAGACCTTCTGCCACAGTTCGATGATTCTGCATTCGTTCAGGATAGCACAAGCCATGTTTTAGAGCATGACCTAGAACACCATATAACCCCCCAGCAAGTAACACAGTCATCTGACCTTGTTCGGGCACAGTCTCACAGTCAGATTCATCCCTGGCATTCTTCAGTTTCTAATCAACATCTGCAAGACAGAAGTCGTGTAACCTTACAAGGACAGGTAAGTAGGGATCTGGGGGTGAGGGTTGAGCTCTTTCATTTGGTTGATCTGATGAAATAAATAATAGTGGGTGGTGCTTCTGCCAAAGCATGATTACTGAAGGCTCTGAGCTGTTCTTACTTGACCCTGAAGAAGTCTTAAGTAATGGCTACTTTAGGGGGAAAAAACCCAACCCATAGATGCAGACCTTTCTGTATCCTGTTGTTTTCTTACTGTTGAAGAAAATAGCATGTATATGACCGGAAGTATTTATTTAGAGAAAATGGTGCCAGTCTTTCAGCTGCTTGTGTTTCCAAAGTACAGCAGAGAAAATTGATTGGTTTATGACTTTTGAGATTATGTGGGAGAGAGAACAATAGCATGAGCATTGAAGAGTTTGAAAGACAATCCTTTAATCTTTCAGCCTGTTTCTTAAGAGTGCTTTCTCATAACATAATATAGTGAATTTTCAAATAGTTTTAATTGAGTGACCACTCAATATTAAGTCCACTTTTTTTTTTATTATTCCTGACCTTTATCTTCATCTGTATCATCATCTTTTATAGAAAGCATGTAAACATCAATGAATTGAATCATAGGATCATAGAATAGTTAGGGTTGGAAAGGACCTTAAGGTCATCTAGTTCCACCCCCCCTGCCATGAGCAGGGACACCACACACTAAACTATGTCGCCCAAGGCTCTGTCCAACCTGGCCTTGAACACCGCCAGGGTTGGAGCATTCACAACTTCCTTGGGCAACCCATTCCAGTGCCTCACCACCCTCACTGTGAAGAACTTATTCCTTGTGTCTAATCTAAACTTCCCCTGTTTTAAGTTTGAAGCCATTACCCCTTGTCCTACCACTACAGTCCCTAACGAAGAGTCCCTTCCCCAGCATCCTCGTAGGCCCCCTTCAGATATTGGAAGGCTGCTCTGAGGTCTCCACGCAGCCTTTTCTTCCCCAGGCTGAACAGCCCCAACTTTCTCAGCCTGTCTTCATACAGGAGGTGCTCCAGCCCTCTTATCATCCTCTTGGCCCTCCTCTGGACTTGCTCCAGCAGCTCCATGTCCTTTTTATGTTGAGGACACCAGAACTGTACACAATACTCCAAGTGAGGTCTCATGAGAGCAGAATAGAGGGGCAGGATCACCTCCTTTGACCTGCTGGTCACACTGCTTTTGATGCAGCCCGGGATACGGTTGGTTTCTGGGCTGCAAGCGCACACTGAAGCCTGCTCATGTCAAGCTTCTCATGCACCACCACCGCCAAGTCCTTCTCAGCAGGGCTGTCTTGAATCTCTTCTCCGCCCAACCTGTAGCTGTGCCTGGGGTTGTGCTGACCCAGGTGTAGGACCTTGCACTTGGTTTGGTTAAACTTCATGAGGTTGGCATCAGCCACCTCACAAGCGTGTCCAGGTCCCTCTGGATCCCATCCCTTCCCTCCAGCGTATCAACCGAACCACACAGCTTGGTGTCGTCGGCAAACTTGCTGAGGGTGCATCAATCCCACTGTCCATGTGCATCGGCAAAGATGTTGAACAAGACAGGTCCCAACACCGATCCCTGAGGGACACCACTCATGAAATTGAAATATGGGCCGGCACTTGTGGATTGCTTTGGTCTGTTACAAGACTAGCTAAGCTTTTCAAAACCAAACAAAATGGAGCAAGTAACATTGTAACCAGCAAAAATCATGTTTTTATTACAGTGGCTAGAAACCTCAGCGTATGTGAGATTCTTGCAGGTTTTTCAGCTCAAGAAGTTCCTAAATCAAAAGAAAACACTTCTTGAACATAGAAAAGACTTAATCAAATGCACAAGTAATTATTCTTTCAGCTCATAAAATTTACCAGTCTTTAAAGCTATTGCTGTGGTTTTGGAGACTGGTTTAGTGGCTGCCTTTGTTGATGCTTGAAAAATGGTGTCGACGACTGCATTACCTTAATCTTATCATAGTTTTGTCTCTGTTGGTAGCTTCCAGCCTGTATTTGATTTGACAGGAATGGCTGAAACTTCTTCAGTTAGATGGTTTGGCAGAAGGAGCCATAGCTGTAGCATAAATGCTCATGTTCAGCCGTCATTGCTGGTTATCTGGGGTTTCCAAAATTGGGAGACTGTTGAAATCCATGTACATGCGAACAGTGAAAGGAGTAATCTTTATTTTAAACTAGTGTTTTTTTCTAATAGAAATTTAGCTTGTGTTTGAGAAATGAGATGGAATAGAAATGTTTTCTAATTTTCAATCTGTGTATTTCAAAATAGAGGCAACTCTGACATCAAATATAAACCTCAGACAGCTTTAAAAAGGTTGCAACTACTGTATTACTTCTCTGTACTCTTGCAGAAAATATTCTTTCTACCTGAGAATATAGAATGTTGCCTTGTTGGAAAAAAGAAAAAATTTACTGAGAAATTGTTTCTACTCTTGCTTCTACTTGGTGTCCTTGGTTCAGCTGTAACAGCTGTTTTTCTCCTTCCTAGTAGCTGGCACAGTGCTGTGTGGTGGCCTTAGTCTGAGAACAGTGCTGATAACACACTGATGTTTTAGTTCTTGCTCAGTAGCTCTTATTCTGATGAAGGACTTTCCAGTCTGTCATGTTCTGCCAGTGAGGAGGGGCCATAAGATGCCAGGAGGGAACAGAGACAAAATACCTGACCCGAACTGGGCAAAGGAGTATTCCATACCACAGCACGTCATGCCCAGTATAGAAACTGGGGATTTAACCAGAAGGCCAGATCGCTGCTCGGCTTGGGCTGGGTATGGGTTGATGGATGATGAGCAATTGTATTGTGCATCGCTGCTGTTTATTGGTTCTTTTCCTTTTTATCTTTTTATTCTCTCACCTTGTTATTTCCCTCATCATTATTATTATTAGTAGTAGTTTTGTATTATACTTTAGTTATTGGACAGCTCTTATCTCAGCCTCCATGGAGTTTACATTCTCCTCCCCGTCCTGCCCAAAGCCGGGGGGGAGGTGTGGAGGACCAAAGGGGGAAGAAGATGGGAGCAAGCATGTGGCTGCATGGTTGAGTTACCAGCTGGGTGAAAACATGACACTTAGTTTCGAGGACACTTAGTTTGCAGGCCTCTGGAGGAGGCAGTGTAACTCTTCCCCCCCACCACCCCTCTTTAATTTTATGTCATTAGTGTAGAGGTAAGGGTTTAATACATTTACTCTTTGGTCTTGGTTCAGTAGATGGCTTTGCCATTTCTATTTCTGCTTATGGTTATGGGGTGTGTGATTGTAGATTTCTACCAGTGAAACTTTTCCTGTAAAACTGTGGTGTGATATTAGTGGAAGATGTATACAGCTGTGTATTTCATACCAGCGTGATGAACTGAATGATGCAGTTGATGAACTCTTGGTTTTGATAAACACTTCTTATTTTTTAGGTTGGGGATGCGGAAGAAGAGGGCACAGCCCAAGTAGCTACTTGTCAGTTGTCTCTGTAACCTAAAGACACATGGTATAGTAGGTGCTGTTGAAATGTCATGCTGTTTGTTACTCTGTACAGCAGCACCTGAGTTCCCTGCCAGGAAGTGGAGCAGCAGAACCGTGAGCTGTGAACAGTAGCATTGAGGCTGTTGGTCTCCCATGAGCATATGTGGGTGAAGGGTGAAGAGGAAGTATATTCCGGGAAAAGTGGGGGTGGCGAGAAATCCAGGGGTTGGGATCCAGGGGTTGCGAGGAGCATTGGGATGCAAGCCAGGCAGCAAAAAGTAGGTCTAATAAAATTCTCTGCTGCTCTGACTTCTCTGTTGTGTTCATAAGAACTATTTAAGTCTTACTTCCATCTTGCTGACACCAGTTTGTGCTGTAACTAAGAATAGAGGGAAAGTTCTGAGACCTGTGGAGAGGAGAGTGTTTAAGGTTCATGGGGTTTGGGTTTGGTTTTTATTGTGGTGTGAAAACAAAGCAACTTTACAGTATTTAAACTTTTTTTACATTTTTTCCCCTTGAACTTTGAAATGGACATACAGAAAATGGATAGTTAAAAACTGCTTGGTTTGGATTTTATTATTTTGGGGACATGCAATAAATTGTATATAATTGGATTCTGACCTCGAGTTTGTCTAATCAGACAGATGTTTCATTTTTTCTTCAGAAACTGCTTGTGAAGTGGTAGCTGTCAAACTGTTGTGAGCAACTTATTGATGGGGGAGTGCAGAACCAGGTGATGTAGAGGCCTCTTCAAGTCAATGGTGTATATAATATGAATAGTAACAGAAACGTATGGCAATTACTGAAGAAGTGCTTCAGATGTGTCTTTTGTCTGAGTTAAGTGGGAAAGGGGTTTGGTAAGTTTCATTTGGAATAGTTAGGGTGAAATCTTCATTGTTTAACAAGGCAGAGTTTCACACCAGCTTTTGTACACACTGTGGAAACAGTGGATTAAATTATTTTCATCAGTTTTAGTTTGATCACAGTTGAGATTTTTTTCAGACAGGAAACCTTTTTATTTTAGTAAACAGTTAATGAACTATTTGACGACCAAGTATCTTCAACTGCAGTTATGCTGAGGTTATTTGAAATTAAGGGCAAACATCAAACACTTCTCATGAATATGCTTACTTTCAAATAAGGAAATATCTTCACTTCTATTATTCTTTTGATAGAAATTAATTTTAAAATTAATATATTCTGTTCAGTGTAATAATGCTGCAGAAATAAAAACAATCTAGAATGTCTTATACTGCTGTTACACTTTCTATGCCTGCTGTAATTCTAGTTGTAAATAAATTGTGTCCCTTAATTTTGCATCATGCATTTTTCATTAGAGTTAGTTTGAAAACAGAGACTAAAGTGGAGAAACGCACTGAAAATTCTTGTAGCCTCAGCTTTGACTAATATAACACTTCTGACCTTTAACTCCACTTTAAACTGCTTTAAGTTTGATAAAGCTAAATATATTCACTTTTTATAAAGTTAAAAAAGATGACAGAAATAAAAGCTTCAACATTTAGTTCTGCATGTTTTTAAAAAAAAAAGTTGGGAAAATAATCTGAAGTATAAACTG